TTAAAGGGTCAGCTCCTGGAGAGAATGTGTCTCCTACTTCACTGAAAAATGCCCTCCTCAGTGTAGCATGAGAGATAACTCTTGTGTAAGTTGCATATTGGACGATGTTTGGCTTCCTAAGTTGTGATGTCTAAATCCTGCTCATGCATACATGACTTGAACTCAGATCTAAAGACTGGGAGACCCCCTCCATCCCATGCTACGACAGGCAACCATGCCCCAACCTCTGAAATAATCATTAACAAATGTAATCAAAATCAAAAATATGCTATTAATATTACAGTGCACTGAAGTTCTGCGTGTGGTTTGTGCAAATGGTAGTGCCATACTCCAAAGAAGGTATTTCTTGATGGTACAATCAATGTCGAACAGAGTACTGTATCTATTTCATTACTCTCGAATGTATTGAAAAGTGTAAAACTAGAAGGCAATATGGGTTTTACATAGGCTATATCAAAGTAAATAGTTTTTGTAAATGTAGTATGTCATAAAAAATGCCATCAAAAGTCATAGTATATTATGTCATTAAAAAGTCATAGCTAGCTCCCTAAAATGGCTCGCAGTGATCAACACTTCGACAACCCCTGAGCTAAGATTTTTGCCTCAAAATGCTCTAAAATGTTTAGTTGTTTAACTAAATTCCCTCCAGATCTCCCTCAAGGATTCTGTCACAGAAGGTGTAGATTGTAAATAGTCCTTTCCCCCACTGTTAAATAGGTGAATACGGCCTTATGGCCCTGGAGCTTCTTTAGCAGGTAAATGTGAAAACAGCGTCCAGTGTGAAATTCTGTTCGTCATTCTGTACAGTCAAACATGCTAGTGAAGCTACTATAGGCTTATGAGACCAATTCTTATTTATGTCTAAAAAAAAAAGTGGTTTCCTGGGAGTTTCTGTGCAGTATCTTAGCTGTTCCTAGGACTGTACTCTTCTGGACAGAGACCTCAGATGTTATACCTGGAATCTGCTGGAACCACTCTCTCACTCTGGGGGACACAGCCCCAAGTGCTCCCATTACTACTGGCACCACTGTTGCCTTTACTCCCCACTTCCTCCCTTTAAGTTAGACCTTATGGGCAAGAGGCCTCCCTTAGAAAGGAGATGACAAACCTGCCTCAAGGCAACCTGTGGCTCTGGAGCCATATGCAGCTCTTTAGCCCTTCTTTACATATGCCGACGACACACAACTCTATATCTCAGTGTCATCACATGACTACAGTCCCTTACTCTCATTGAGTAACTGTATTCATCTAATCATTGACTGGATGTGCCATATTTTTCTCCAGCTAAATCCAGAAAAGACAGAGGTATTAATTTTTGGCCCTAGAAATGAAAGGGCAAAGATCAGCACCCACCTTGGCTCTATGTTATTGACAGCTACAAATCAAGCCAGAAATCTTGGTGTTATTATTGACTCAGACCTGAACTTCAACAGCCATTTAAAGTTTATTACTAAATCTGCCTATTACCACCTGAAAAATATAGCTAGAATTAAGGAGTTTCTGTCTAAACAAGACATGGAAAAACTTATTCATGCATTCATTTTTAGTAGGTTGGATTATTGCAATGGCTTATTTACAGGCCTTAACAAAAATCAATCAGACAGCTGCAGCTGATTCAGAACACTGCCGCCAGAGTCCTTACAAACACCAGGAAACTGGACCATATTACACCGGTCATTAAATCGCTACACTGGCTTCCTGTGAGTCAAAGAATAGATTTTAAAATCTTACTGCTGGTCTACAAAGCCCTAAATGGTCTCGGACCAAAATACACGCTTGATCTACTGGTTCCCTACGAAGCATCCAGACCCCTTAGGTCATCTGGAACAGGTTTGTTGTGTGTTCCAAGAACAAGAACCAAGCAAGGTGAGGCAGCATTCAGTTATTATGCTCCTCACCTGTGGAACAAACTTCCTGTAGATCTGAGGTCTGTTCAAACTGTCAGCTCCTTTAAATCAGGGCTAAAAACTGTTTTTATTTTATGTTACTGTATTTTATTATTATCACTATCATTCTCAATTTCTATTTCCCTTTTTAATCGACTGTTTTTATTGTTTTAAATTGTGTCTTGTTGCTTTTAATATCTCTGTAAAGCACTTTGAATTACCTTGTGTTGAATTGTGCTATACAAATAAACTTGCCTTGCCTTTAGTGGATAGTGTGGCTTTGTCAGAGAAAGAAAAAATCATACTAAAATGGATATCAGTTAATTTTTTAACATTTTCATATTCATTTATCATTGTAGGCCAAAGGAATTTAAGCATGCACCAAATTTTAAAAATGTTTAAATAACTGAAATGTGCATCATAGATCTACAGCCAGCCCAGCTTCCTCCAACTTTTGCCAAAGCTCTGTAGCAATGTCCGGTCTTGAGTCTCCCTTGTTAGACTGGCTATAGATTCCAAATCCAAAAAAGCAAAAGTCTTGGATGAAAAGAGAGAATTTAAAACTGCACGGACAGATTAATTTACTTTCACCACCAACTCTGCAAAGTCAAAATTCCAAATAATTATAAACAGCCCACTGCAGTGTAGCCAAACTGAGGTAAAACATACTGATGAACACTCATTAGGACCTTAGCGATGATAACAGTTATGCTAATTTGGACTTAATAGGCTGTGTTACCTTCATTATAAGGCTCAAATATGTTTTGCGTCTCTAGCTAGTAAAGGTTGCCGATTCCTGGGTTAAATGATCTAGTATAATCGTACTGAAATAAAAATAATTAGCCTGAAGGAAAGGCTAAAAGGCCTGTAGTTAATTAATTAATGGGTCCGGGTTAGAAGAATTTTAGTTTGTTTTGTTTTGAGTTCGGGGGCTTCTTGCCACGTATGAGATTTTCATATTTTGTGCTGTAGCAACATTAGTTTCTGTACAAATTTTGCCAAGCAGTGTGTTGGTTTATGCATCATCACCATGCACGTTAAAATCTTATCCATTTTAATTTTACAGTAGATTGCCGTTATTCTTAGGGATTCATCTTCCTCGGTCTTACCCTACAGTTTAATAATGTAAGAGAAGCTTTATTTTTTTGAGGATGTATCAAGTAGATTGTCTTGTTTTTATCTGTTTGTTATTTTGCGGCTACATAATTTAATGTTCACTACATATAGCCTATCATATACTGTTTACATATTCTATTTTTCTCCTCACATTACATTTGGGAACTATTTATGTGCAGGTGATAGATAGGGATGAAGTTTGGCGGAGTGATATGTAAGATGTGAGATGCCATGCTTGTTGTCGATTTTCAGTTGTCCTACACGAGGCTGAAGTTGACTTCCGGTACTGCAGCTTTCCACTATTGTTCCGATTGGAATTTCTCGGTCCACCTTAAATGTCGCATAACGCCTATAGATGGCGGTATTCAGTCATTTTCAAGCTAATTCATGAACTGAAAAATTGACTAAAATTTTGAGCATTTTAACTGTAGCATATTTTTCTGATTGTCCTTACTCATGGTAAACTGCTTCTCAGTCTTTCTATTTCTGCCTATTTGCTTTGGTCTTGTTTGCACTGTATTAAAAAGTCTTAAGAAACTAACACTGCAGTATGACTGGAGATATCAGAGGGTATCATAATCCTGAGTTTTATTCATTTTACTGTAGTATTTTTTAACCTTGAGATCATTAAGAAATGATCTCAATTAAGACATGGCCCACATCACAAACCACTATACTTAGACTAGTCAAATCTGGACTAGATTAACATGGAGACTCCAGAGACTCATTAAAACACAGTTTCTGATTTGTGAAACCTTTATTGTATTTGTGAAAATGCAAAAAAAAAGGCGATTTCACTGTTTTTTTCCCCCATCCAGACCACATTAGACTAGTTCCAGATCACAAACCACTACACTTTAACGACTATACATTTATTCTATTTGTGAAAATGGTAGTTAATGATTTATAGTATTGCCGACTTTGTTATTGGAAATTTAAAGTGGAAGTCCATGTCTCTCCATTTCATTTCTGACTGCCATCAAGATCTCCTCTTTCTCACTTCAAAACAACAGTAGAAAAGTTATATAAAAAAACAAAACAATCAAAACTTCTTTAGAGATTGGTCAGTTGGTTCATTTACTCTTCATATTCTTACTTCAACAAAATTACCGTTGCTCTTTCACCTTTCCTCTAATTGGCCATAGTCAACCTCTCTCACTGCTTCTGCCAATGTTAGTCTCTTCACTTTTGCCAAAGCCTGTATCGTGGCCTGTGTTAGAAGTACCATCATTTAGCCATTAGTGTGCTTGTTCTTCATTTATCTATATCTATATATCTAGATATAGATATAGATATGAAGACCTTTGTATAAAGAGGTTTGTGATCTGGAACTAGTCTAATGTGGTCTGGATGGGGGAAAAAAACAGTGAAATCGCCTTTTTTTGCATTTTCACAAATACAATAAAGGTTTCACAAATCAGAAACTGTGTTTTAAGGAGTGTCTGGATTCTCCATGTTAATCTAGTCCAGAGTTGACTAGTCTAAGTATAGTGGTTTGTGATCTGGACCATTTCTTAATTGAGATCATTTCTTAATGATCTCAATTAATTTAGTTAACAGTCATAAGGACAACTGCACTCTACTGATCATTCTCACTTCATCTTCCCCATATTTGTTGAATTTTTCAGTTCATGAATTAGCTTGAAAATGACTCAATGCCGCCATCTACAGGTGTTACGCGACATTTAAGGTGGACAGAGAAATTCCAATCAGAAGCTGTAGTGGAAGTGAAGTCACTGTCCCCGTGCTCTTACTTGACCTACAGCCCTTTGATAGATAATTCAGTAACTAGTAAGTTTATAGAAAATACAGGTGAGAGAAACCCGCCTTACAATATAGTATAATATAGTACAATATAGTCCTCACAGCTCCTTAAACAGTCCTGCGCCGCCCTCTAGTGGCCAGACTACAAACTACACCTCAGCACAACAACAGCAAACTCAAAGAACCAGAAACGAAAGTGAAATACTTGTCATTGAACTTTGAGCTCATGATTTGTCACGCCGGCTTTTCATTCAGTTCCTAGTTTGACCTGCTCGGTTGCTGCTTTCAGGAGCTGATCCAGCTGATCCTTCATTATAACTTGTCATTCTCATCCTGAGGAGCTGTGAGGGCAACATGTCAGAAATCGGGGAAATCGATGAAGGATTTTACTCCAGACAGCTGTAAGTACCACCGACACATGCTGATGATTGACCCCTTTAACTCTACACACTTATGGTCCAAATATCCACTTGTTCTTTTACCTGCACAGGTATGTTCTGGGCCATGACGCGATGCACCGGATGGGCACCGCCAGAGTCCTGATTGCAGGCATGCGTGGTCTGGGGGTAGAGATAGCCAAAAATGTGATCCTGTCCGGAGTGAAGTTTGTCACCGTCCAGGATGAGGGTGAGACGGTGTGGAGCGACCTGTCCTCTCAGGTACCCTACCTTTATCTTCTACATAGGTAATAAAATAATCGTCTAAATGCACCATATCGCCCATCATAAATTATTATCATAAGTTATTATCTTAGGTTTTACATTTGATAAAAGCAGAAAGTTGTGAATGGAGTATGTTGGTAATTGTAACATGTCACTTTTACTTTCACTATTATATGAATTTATTCCCCTTCCACCCCAATGCAGTACAGTGTTACCATAAAAGGATCGTAGCTGCAGAGGCTTAAACGAGACTCCATCAAACAAAATTCTTGATCATTGATTACTGATCATTCTTGATCTTGAAAACAGATGCTGACAAGAGATACAAGAGGTGCTCATCTGATAAATGACATCTGTTTGCAGATGAAGACTGTGGAACTTGAGCTGAGATTGTTTTGACAATCTTTTTATTTCCTTTTCCCACTAGTTTTTCCTGAAGGAGTCCCATCTTGGTCAGAACCGAGCCACATGTTCCCTACAACAGCTGTCTGCCTTAAACCCACACGTGCGCGTGTCGGCCCACACTGGACCTCTGGACGAGGACCTGCTTCTGCAATTCCAGGTACATAAAATTTTTTTCCCACAAAAAAGTCTGATTACCTAATTTAAGATTCTTAAAACATACATCTACTTCTTCTCCCTTATAGAAAAAAACCCAAATCTATGACTCTGCAAGTTCTTTTCATTTCCAAAGTTTAGCTGCTGGACACAAGATTTATCCTACTTTAGTCTAGGTATCGGCTACTCTCAGTGTATGTGTGCACTGGAGGTTTCAAGTTGTCACACTTGTTTAAATTGCATTTTAGACCACATTTGGCTTCTAAACTTGCTGTGACACCCCCAGATCCATCTCATAATGAAACGTCTCAAACTCTAATTTAAGACGAAAAACATTGCATAAGTGAATTCAGTTCAAATAAAGACAAGAAATTTGTGCTCTAGATAAAAGATCAGCACTGAGTGAATAACCTCCGATTTTTGGCAACTTTGCTTCCAAAACATGTCTCCCCTCAGACTAGTGATAAAAAAATGTCAAAAATATACACTGAGCCGTTTATTTTAGTTCAGATTTCTGTCATGGAAATTTATGCAAAGCTGGGGAAGTTACATGATGTTATTTATTAGTTAGATTTTTTACCCTATTAATAATAATAAACTTTAATTATATAGCACACTTCATACAAGAAATGCAGCCCAAAGTACAATAACGGCAGTATAAGCACTGAGCGCTTTACATGAAAATACAATGAACATAAAACAGAAGAAATTCATAAAATCATAGAGTTGTAAAACTATAAATCATAAAATCCAGTCAGATTTTACAAGAGTTGCAGCAGCTTGAAGAATAAACAGAAAGTAAAAGCATAAGAGTGAAAGCGTGTCAGACCTGTATCAGGAAGTCTTGTTAATGTGGGACTTGAAGCTTAGATCTGAATCAAGGATGTATTTGTACTGAATGCAAAGTAGCACATAATGCCTCATATTTGCATGTATATTTAAAAAAAAAAAATTCAGAAAACATGCCATACAAAAAATAATCTTCTCAATGTAAGCTTCATGGTGATATCTATTAGTAAAACTTTTTACCCTTTGTCCCTTGTCATTTTCCAGGTGGTGGTCCTCACTGACTCTTCACTGGATGATCAGAAGCGTTTTAATAAGCTCTGCCATTCGCAAGGAATCAAGTTCATTGTAGCAGACACCAAAGGCCTCTGTGGGTAAGACAAACAAACAAAATGACTGAATATACTTAATAATGCATGAAAGAAAGAAGTGAAAACGTCATGGTTCATTTGCAGTCAGTTGTTCTGTGACTTTGGGGAGGAGTTTGAGGTCTTGGACCGGGATGGAGAGATGCCGGCATCAGCGATGATACAGAGTGTCTCTCAGGTAAAATCCTCCATTTGTTTTATGTTAATGGAATATTAAAAGCCTCTCTTACACATTTAGCCATTCATAATAAAACCTGATTATCCAGGTTGAGTTGTGTTGGGTAACACTCACACCTGATGGGAATCTTAGAAGTGCCAGTTTACCTAACCTGCATGTCTTTGGACTGGGAGAGGAAAGTGTTGTCAACATAACTTTATTTTAGGCGAACCCTGGAGTGGTGTTCTGCACAGATGACCGCAAGCATGAATTCTCAGATGGCTCCAAAGTTATCTTCTCTGATGTCCAAGGCATGACGGAGCTCAACACCATGGGCCCTGTAGAGATCAAAGTCAGTGGTCAGTGTGACTTTACAGTTACCCTGCTCAGCTGTCATCTCACAGTGCACTCATGAGCTACACTCAGCCCTCTGCATGGCACTCAGCATTTTCAGTCTTTCAGGAGCATCGTAGTAGAACGTAGTAGTTGTGATGAGAATTCCTTTTTGTTTTACTATCTATGTGTCATCTGCCACCTCTATCACCAGGCCCGTACTCCTTCAGCATTGGTGACACTTCAGCCTTTTCTAAGTATGAACGGGGTGGAGTAGTGACCGAGGTGAAACAGCCCTCCACGCTGAATTTTGTGAGTATCTACATTTTGTTTTTAATGTCTTAAGTTGTATGCCTCTGCAATGACAATAACTGTGGCCGGAGGCTTTATGTGTTTGTGTTGTCCATCCATACGTACATCTGTCCATCACATTCTCATGAATATCTCAAGAACACCTTGAGAGAATTACTTCAGATTAGGCACAAATGTCCACTTGGACTCAATGATGTAAGTAATTAGATTTTGGTGGCCATAGGTCAAAAGACAAGTTTACTGTGACCTCCTCTGTCTCATTCTCGTGGATGCAATCTCTCACAAACACTTGAGGGAATTTCTTTAAATTTGGCACAAATGTCCGCTTGGACTCAACCATGAATTTAATAGATTTTGGTGGCCAAAGGTCAAGGTCACTGTGACCGTGCAAAAAACTTGTTGTAACTCAAAAATTCTTTAGCTTATTATGACATCATTTTACACATATGTCTGATACTATAAGCTGGTTAAGTGATGACATTTTATATCCAAAAGGTCAAAGGTCAACTTCACTGTGATATCAAAATGCTCTGCAAAAGCACTTTTCTGGCCATAACTCAACGTCATATCTCGGGAACACAAGGGAAGACATTTGGTCAGATACTGAATTGGTGACACTAATCTTGGGTGTCCACCTTGAAACTGTGCTGCTTGTATAGAACATTGGCTCCCGACTGGTCCAGCCACAAGGTCCAGATTTCTCCTCAGTGATTAGTTCAAGGTCCACACAGTTTAATACATTCAGCGTCATACTTGTTTTTGGCCATGTCGTCGAGCTAGTTTTCTGTCTCTGTAAAGTAGCTGTCCATTATTTACTCACTCTACAGCAGGAAATGGCACTTCAAAATAAAAGCTCTGTGCTGGAAATTCACTGTACCTTTAAATAAAGAGTGTTTTTACAAACTTGACAAGTTTACGAGTCCCTTGCAGTCCATTTAGAATGGACCCGCAACCCACTGTTAGACCACGACCCACTAGTTGGGAGCCACTGGTATAGATCTTTGTTGCCGGGGGGAGATGTGTGTGAAGCATCCTTGTTTGTACAGACAGGATGTGAACTGTAAATACAACTTGACTGGTGTGCAGAGGCAAACAAGCACAAGGCCGTAATTCTAGTTGCCTTTGAAAAAGTGTACCTTTTATTGATAAAATAACTACAACATAAATTCCAGAAACCACTGAGTGAGGCTCTGTTGGATCGCAAGCTGCTGAAAACGAATGATTATGGAAAAATACAGCAGCACGAGACCCTGCACTTGGCTTTCCAAGCGCTCCACAGCTTTGTGAAGAAAGAACAGCGACTACCTCGTCCTCGGTCTCAGGTCGGTAAAGGTTACATGACATCACAGCCACTATTCAAGTAATTTTACATGACAAGTTACATGATGAGTTAAAAATCAAAGGAGTAAAACAAGTTAATCAGGGTGTGGTGTTGTAGAAGGATCATTAAAGCAGTTAATATTCACTTCTTGAAATAATTAACCCCATACAGTCAGATGCAGACACCCTGCTTGCCATAGTGGAGGAGCTGAATACAGTCGCACAGCTGGAACAGCTGGATGAAGCTGCTGTGAGGAACCTGTCCTACACAGCCCAGGGCGACTTGGCTCCTATCAATGCCTTCATTGGAGGTGTTGCAGCTCAAGAAGTTATTAAGGTGAGGTCAAAGGTCGATGCCTGTAACATTACTTTCATCTCTCAGTTTTTGCATAGAGTATAACACTACTATTGTTAGATTGTGTATATAGATTAAACATAACGTAGCACTTACATGATGCTGGTGGTGTATATGGCTGACTGTACTTTGCTCTGTGCACTTTATAACATTCCTGCAGGCATGTAGTAGGAAATTTACGCCTCTTCAGCAGTGGCTATATTTCGATGCACTGGAGTGCCTCCCTGAAGAGGAGGACCAGCTGGCAGAGTGCTCCTTTTCAGCAGTACGTTAAAGATTTAAAGGAGCAGTGTGTTGGATTTAGTGGCATCTGGCACTGAGTTTGTAGTTTGCAATCCCTTAGTGTCTAGAGAATCTGCGGTGAACTTAAGGTAATGTAAAATTCAAAAAATACAAATACAAATATATGAAGGGCTCATTCTGAGGTAACGAAAACACAACGATTTTAGTTTCAGACGATTATACACTAATAAAGACATACATTTGAAGATGATATATTTTATTTCTTCAGTAGATCCACCTAAATCCCACACACTGGTCCTTAAAGAAGCCACATATACCAATCAGAAACATTCAATTTGACTCAGGATGTAAATTCACCATTTTCTGTTTTCCTCTCTGACAGAGCAACACAAGGTACGACGGACAGATTGCCGTGTTTGGGTCAGCGTTCCAGGAGAAGCTTGAGAGGCAGAAGTATTTCCTGGTGAGGGCAGGATTGGTGTTTGTCCAGCAGGGGTCACACACTGCACGGGAATGCAGGAGCTCCATCTGTGTTTTGCTTTGATCTTGTCTGGTGTTAATGATGGCACATGCAGGAAATGGCTGTGATCCAGGCGGCATTTCCTGCCAGTGCTGACCTCTTGGTGCGCAGGGGCCGTTGAGCAGTGCGAAGCCCTTTCTCTGTTTCCTTTAAAAGTGTTATTTTTGGTGTTGTTTACTGGCCGTACGTGTCTGTTTTCGTGGGAGAGAGTGCATGCTTGTGTTTCTTTTGCCACCGTAAAAAAAAAACAACAAAACTCCATGCAAGGTGTCAGGAGGTGAAACAAGTTGTGCAACAACGGATCAATAATTTTCTGCAACATTGTAAAAGACAAATGACCTCAATGAACTTGATGACATTAACTTGCATTGCATGAGCTAACATGCATCTGACACAGTCTCTCCTGTCATTTTCCAAGGTGGGAGCTGGTGCTATCGGCTGTGAGCTTCTTAAAAACTTTGCCCTCATTGGGCTCGGTGCCGGAGAGGAAGGCCACATCACTGTAACAGACATGGACTTCATAGAAAGATCCAATTTGAACAGACAGTTTCTGTTCAGGTCACAGGATATTGGGGTGAGAAAACGCATAACCTCTACGTTCCATCATACCTCACTGGTTTTTGTTTGACCTAGATAAGTGAGAGGGTCATAGGGGCTTTACTAATGGGACAGGTGGGTTGGGAGGGGGATAGCCTGTATCAGATAACATGTAGCGGCCATGTTCCATCATTTGTGGCTATTTTGCTTCACAGTGTACTTTCGGAGTTTATCAGATGGTTGATATCTCATGTCTGTGTAAACAACTGCCCCGGTCTAAACAACTTATGCAACACATAGTTGAGTGCAATTAAGAGGGTATGTTGACAAAAAATCCTCGACTGCTCTAAAGAATGTGCTGATTCCGCTGTTATATAAATTACAGCAGTGAAACACTCAGAGTATAGTGTCTTGACAGTACTCTGATTTCTTGGAATAGTTTCATGGGAAGACCCAATAACAAATCTGGAAATTAAGTTTGTATGACTTAACATTTTATTCATCCATTAATCTGCCATTACCACCAATGTTTTACTCAAACTGCTCACATACATTATCTCCCAGACACATTTACTCGCTTCTCCATTAACAGAAACCAAAATCAGACGTCGCAGCCAAAGCCGTGCAAGAGATGAACCCACAGACGAAAATTACTGCCCACCAGAACCGTCTGGACTCTGACAGTGAAGGAGTGTATGATTACAACTTCTTCATGGGTCTCGATGGAGTGGCCGCAGCCCTCGATAATGTGGAAGCCAGTGAGAGCACATCCTGTTTTCATTACCATTATTATATCATGCTCTAATTACCCTAGTGATTATATGGAAGCATTTACAGTACATATTTGCTCATAAAAATACATTTTAAGCATTTAACCCCTCTTTTTGCTGCCCAGGGGTCTATCTTGATGGACGCTGTGTTCAACACCAGAAACCGCTGCTGGAGGGAGGAACTTTAGGAAGTCAGGGTCATACTCTGGTGGTGGTGCCTCACCATACAGAGTCTTATGGGCAGCCCAGATCAAACTCTGATGATGCCATCCCTCTGTGCACGCTCAAGAACTTCCCTCACCGCATTGAGCACACCCTGCAGGTACAATGGAAACTTCTAATTAAGACTAATCAAGCTTTGTGCTTGAGTTACACTGATTCATTTTCCTAGTTTTGCCTCAAAACCTACACTGAATGACCAGAAACTTAAAGTTAGTCTTGCCTAAAATGTTTAAAATATTGCTACTTGGCCAATCTGGGCACCCACAGCTGTCCCAGGCCCAATTGGTGGCCAGTCTGGGCACCCAGAGCCGTCCCAGGCCCAATTGGTGTCCAGTCTAGGCACCCACAACTGTTCCAAGCGTCCCAGGCACAGGCAGCTGCTGGCACCCAGCCCAGACATGCATTGGCATGATCCAGCTTGTCCCACCAATATGTCCGAGCCAAGTCCTACTCTATTTTTTAAAAAAATCTTTAATCCCAGTAGTATACATGCAATACATGGCCTGGTGTGTGTGTGAGTACAATGCATGACTAAATGTGTATAGAGTATTAATTCAACACACATATCTTATCAAAATCTAATCAAAATATATGGATGAGTACTTACTGATTGTCATTAAACACATCCTGCAGTTAAGGCTCATTTTACGCTACAAACAATAGAAAGATCTAGGGGCTCTTTGAGGATGTAATAAGATACAGTGACGCTTTAAGTTCAACACCGAACTCGGCAAGCTAACCTGTTCAATATGACAAAGCTAACATGCCAATGTTCAGCAAGTTCACCACCATATTGTTCACCATTTTAGTTTAGCACATTAGCATGCTAACTTATGCTAATTAGTTTAACCAAAAGTGATGGAATGTCATTAGTTTTACAGATATCTGGTCATAAACCAAAGTATTGGACAAATTAATAGGTTCACATGATGGTGTTAATAGAAAAGTTAAAGAATCACCAAAAATGTATTCTTAAGGCCCATCACACCAAACTGACTTTAGAGAAGTTTCAGTGACGAAGACCCCCTGCTTCATCTTCTGAAGTTGGATTGTTTCAGCCAAAAAGTTGCACATGAACACACCACAAAGACAGCAGCCGACGGTGAACCAGCATGTGCATTCTGCGCCTGCGTGAGAGGAAATAACTGTCCACACCAGCAGACAGTGGTAGTCTGTAACCGACATTCAAAAAGGGAAACTGGAGGACCATTTTGACACTAGTTAGCCAGTTAGCACATTAACAACGCAATCCAGTGTTGAAAAGACAAAGCATATTTACTGTGTGCTAGGGAACAATAACACAAACCATCACGAAACATTCTGCCAAAGAGTTCAGTGGCTATAGAAAAATACCTTTACCTTATGTAACATGTTTGTTTTGGCCTCACTCTCACTTGACTTTAACCGTTTGTTTACTTTCCTCACTTCTGTTTCTCATGAGCTGAGCTGCTCATGAGGATTTGCAGTGACATGCTGAATCTACAGAAAAAAAAGCTTACTGTGTCAGGGCCTTGAATGGGACATAAATGCATGTATCAAATTTAATTGCAATCTAACCACTAGTTGTTGAGACACTTCACTTAAAAAACAAAGTATAAACCTAAAGGTTGCACTAGAGGAAGTGTCAGGGGATCACCAAAGTCAGTAGGATTCATCCTCCACATTTTAAAGGTGCTGTACATAACCTTGGGGAGAAAGATAGCGAAATGTTGACTCTTATCCAGAGATTGTCAACTACCGATCCTTTGGGTCAGTAGTTGGACCAACCCAAAGCATCAGACTTTGACAACCTGGGAATGAGACTCAACAATCATTCATCTTTCTCCATAGTTATTTACAGCACCTTCAAAAATCTATTCCAGGAATGCTGTTTAAGGTTTTATTACAACATATATGGTTTGTGGTCACTCAGTGTATTCTCATGCAGTATTAAACATCACTATTACACTAACTGTATTATCTGTTCACACATTACAATTCTTTTAGTGGGCCAGAGACCAGTTTGAAGGACTGTTCAAACAAACACCTGAAAATGTGAATCTCTTCCTGAGGTAAGATATAACACCACCCTCGTGTGATTTACCTTTTTCCACAACAAGTGTTGCCTCCAACGAATGTGAGAAATTACATTCGCCAACGTGCTGCCAGTGTGCTGGCACCTTAATGACCACTACTTGCTCATTTTACAGTGCTTTTCTGCTCTCCTACAAAGCATTCCAGCAAACCTACAAAAGCTAATGAAGTGCTTCAAGCTCATTATTTTGTTTTATAAACAGGAAAACATGTGGTTGGCTTTCAGCAATAAACCCCTAGTAAAAAATTACATAAACAGTCTGCCTTGCCAAGTCTGTTCTCTGTAATGTGTCTTTCACAGCAGCTCTAACACTTTTTCCTCCAGATAATACATCAAGTCTCTCAAGTAATTGGACGCTTTCTGGTTTAGAAACATCCACTAAATGGCAAAGGAGATTAGATAATGCAGTAAAAAGTACTATATTATGTCTACAAATGAAAAATTAATTATACTAATTATAATGTAGCAGCATATGTGACAGATTTGAGCCTCCAGGCCTAAAGTTTGTCTGCGCTTTGAGCCTCGGAGCCCCCCTAATCCATCCATGTTTTGAGATGTCTCTCTGTTTGTTTTGGGGAGATCTGATGTAATCCCTGCTCATTGTAAAGCACTTGCACACTTTCTCGTGTCTTCAAACAGAAACAAAAATCATGTCTGGCTCAGAAATGGTGCTCGCAGATCCACACAGCCATTAAAGTTTCTCACATTACACCGATGTGTAGAAATAAGAACATGTATTATGCTTTTTTACAGAGACCTCTTTGTAGTGCAGTCATGGAAAACCTTTCTGGACATTTTCACGAGGCAGGTCAGCTACATGTGTTGTCCAGTAAAGTTTTAGTCCTGCCGGTTAATGAGGTTATGGAAAGGAACAGTCACATTTTGTTGTGTTATCCTCCCACCTGTGCAGCTCCACGCAGAGCTATGACTTCAAATGTTCCTGTTTGGACATGTTTAGGTGAAACTGCACGCAGGGGAGGCAGATCCGTTTTGTTTCGCAGTGCGCTGTCATGTATGGTGAGCTGGCACATGATAATGGCGCAAGAACTGTCCAGGCGTGTGGTATGGAGATGCACTGACCGGCACACTATAAGCTTAGTAACCATTTCCTGCCTATTAGTCCACAGCCAAGCGTCAAAGGAATCCCCTCTGAGTCACTAATAAGACTACACCCTAACTTACAAAGATCTGTGTAGTCATTCTCCTCTGTGCTTCCTAGAACAGAATATTTTTCCATGAGGACTTTCCAGGTCAAATGTTCTTCCCACAGTTCAACTGCTGCTGCTGTTGTTGCAAAACAGCCCTGCCAGTAAAATAGAAATCAAAGATTCTGGAGTTTAGATCCTGAGTTTAACACGACCAGACTTTTGACAACACTTGCCCCGTCTTGTCTTCTAACACATCTACTGATTATTACCTTCTGTATACTGCATGTCTGTTATTAAATCAGAACGAATTGCTGCCGTGTTTCCTGTAGCGATCTAGGTTTTGTGGAACGGACCCTTGGCCATGGAGACGCTGAGGCCCTGGAGGTTCTTGGGGGGGTGTGGAGCAGCCTTGAGGACAGGAAAGCTGGAGGACAGCGTCCAGCCAGCTGGGAGGACTGTGTAAGCTGGGCACGCTGCAAGTGGGAGACTCTCTATAACAACGATATCCGCCAGCTTCTGCACTGTTTCCCTCCCGGAGAGGTAAAGTCACACCAAAGGAAATATAACTCACCAGAGCCAAGTGTCGTAAAGCTGTGATTTATATTTATGGACACGGAGGGGCACTGTTGTGTATGTAAGGTCCTTGCGTAACAATCAGTTAAACTCTGCAGTGTGGCATTAGCACAAACTGAATGCCAGTCAGTGTTTCATTTGTCACATTTCACTTCATGGAGTAATGTGGCATATTTTCCCGGGCTCAGAGACCAATATTAGCCTTGTTTGAAACCTGAACCACTGAAAGCCATCGCTGATAAATATCTCTGAGTGGCTCTGAGGGTTTGTAATCTGCTGAAGCATGCAGACAGAGTGATGTCATATGTTGCTGTCACACCTGGGGGGGCACGGACCAGTATCAACCCAAACAGACCCTCACTAACCCCAGTCCCAGTCTAGCAACTGGCCACTTCTATCCTCATTATACGTCCCTGCAGGGTTATAGAAATTCCTCTGACCAAGAATGATTTTCTCACATTACTTTCCCCATATTTCCCTGAAGAAAAACACAACTCATATAAAGCCTTATGCTGATAAAATGAGCCAGTTCTCATGTGTTACATTTAGCAGTCAAACCAATCCAGAAAACATCCTAACATTTTTGTCAACCTTATAATCACACAAACCACGGAGAAACCCTGTGGCAGTTATGGTTATATATTTTACTTCTCCTTTTTCTCCCATACCTCTGTCACTGTCATAGTTACCTATACTGTACGAGAGTTATGGTCTCATTGTCCCCGTGGAAAGTCACTCTCAACCACAAACTTTCTGAGAAACTACGATAAGGCAGCTAACGTCAGTTAACGGTCACAAACCAACCTGACAAATACTGGTGCACAAACATGACAGATGGCCACACATTTAACATAACAGTCACTGTGTTGGGTGTAAGCCTCCACACAGAAGTGCATGTATGTTTAAACACGAAACAATGGATGGATTTGAACCAAAGACATTATGGCGGCGTCTTTATCCTACAGTGATCAGAGTTTCCACACAAGGCTCAAGTCTATACACAAGAAAGAAAAACAGAAAGAGAGACTGGCTGGTATAAGATATGAATGTAGCTAAAATTACATCAGAGAAGGCCTCATATAGTAAATGCAAATCCATTTGTTTAAGTGAGCAGCTCATTGCCTGCTAATTAAATTACTGCAGTTAAAGATCATAGAAGATGGCTGAAACTATAGCTGATGATTAAGCCATGTTTTATTGTTAAGTTATTCAAGTTAGTGATGATTTTCTCTATTACATTAAAAATCAAATTTAATACCAGTTGTTTCTTTAAAATGGTCCGACAAAAGAAGTACTTTTCAAATAAAGAAATTTTAAGACATGATAGTAAATGTTTCAGTATTTTTTAAAGGTCTGGTGTGTAAGATAAAGGGGGGGTTCAGTGACATCTAGTGGTGAGGATTGCGAATTGCAACTAGCTGAAACTTCCTCCGCTTAGGATTTCTTCTTGTTTAGGAGGTTTTTAATGGGGGCTGATTTATCCTCAGAGGTCTCTGTCTCTCCAAAACAAACACACCCTGTGATTTAAACCAGTAAAAAAACTTAATAAAGCAGTTTCACATAAAAAAAAAATTAAGTGTTTTTCCAACGTCATTCTGATTGTTGCACACAGACCACTAGCTCAACACCTGCTAATGTGCGCTCACCTTTTTTTTCTGTGATAACTTATGATCTAGATATTCAGGACATTTTTACTGGGAGCCAAATCATCCATAGAGATCTCGTCCTTCCCAAAACAAACACACCCTGTGATTTAAACCAGTAAAAACACTGAGTAAAGCAATTTCAAACCGCTGATCGCTAAAGGGGCTGCTAACTACGATGGCCAAATGTGAGTGGCCCTGTCAAGAGCCAGGGTTTGGTTTGTCCGTTGTGGTCTATTGTAGAAACAAGATGATCTTTGCGATATGAACGGCTCATTCTACAGCAATGAAAACACAACAATTCTTATTTGCAAGTGATTAAAATATATTAATTAAAAAAATACTACACTAAACCTTTAAATTATTTTATAGAATACAGTAAAATATTTATCAGTAATAAAATAATAATTTTTAGAAGTCAAATTAGTTGTATTTCTAAAACATAAATGTCTATCCATCATTAATAAGAAAGAAACAGGAACTTGAAGTTGTAACATTTTTGATTAGTCTTCATTGGGCATTAATAACACCATATAAATTCTTAAGCTAAGCGGTATCGACCTTTTTAAAGATCAAGCATTGCTGATGCCTTTAAGCCGTCTGAATCCTAGTTGTGAAAAAGAGAATGCTGCTGATGCCTTTTGGCTGCTGTAGAAAGAACCCCTGCAGTGAAAACTGGCAGCAGCAGTAGGAGATCCTCTCTTTCCCGGCATATGGACCATTTGGAAACATCAAAGCTCTCAGTCTCTTTGTTCCTTTATCAGACATACAAATTGTGTTGTCAACACACGACTGATAATATTAGTCTGGCTGCTCTGCTGGGAGGTTGTAATCCTCATGCTGTGTCAGGAAACTAAAGGATAAAGTGATGTTGCTTCGAGTTAAACTTTCATACTGTGAATTATATATGATGAAGGTCAATGTGTAACAAATCTGATAAAATAATAAAATGGATTTTCTTCTGCTTCTCTTTAGATGACTGAGGCTGGCCTACCCTTCTGGTCTGGAACCAAGAGATGCCCTCACCCACTGACCTTTGACCCCAACACTGTGAGTAGTGTCTGGTCCAGTGTTCCTCATGCAGCGGTAATCCGGACATGCACCCTAAAACAGTAGACAGGAATGACTGAAAAATACCTCGGTATTTGTTCATGACCACTGGCATTCCTTCTTTATCTGGTCTGATAGTGGCTCTTCTTCACCCTGACCGTATACAGGATTCTTATCTGAGCTGTGAACGCCACTTAACCTGTGCATGGGCAATGAAAGGCAGATAATTATCTGCTCTCCATTCACATTCACATCCTTGATGACCAAGCTGATTCGCATATAAAGAAAGAGGTCATAAATTGATACTAGTTTAAATTACTGCAACTTGGAATGTTGTGTAGCAATGTCTCTCAAAAAAGATTGTGTTTCCTCTCTCCCTCAATTATTTGACTTTACCTTTTCAACTGTTTCTGTACTGTCGTCAATTTATTCCACCTCCTGACATCAGACTTTTATCTCCTTTACCTTTTCTTTTTGTCCTCCCCTCTTTGTGAATGTTGCCATCTCATGTTATCTAAGCTTTCACCTTTAGTAGAAAATGCCACAACTGCAAATGCCAGAGCCAAGTGCCAATTTTTACTTATACAGAAATGTCAAGTGAAGAGTGTAATGCTAAGTGCCTTCACTATTCCACCTGTTGGTGCTTTGCATTTTAAAAATCTGCTTGTTTTCCTTTGGAAGTGGTTTGACAGTTGCTTGGGAAATATCTAATAAGGCAGTTGTTTATTCATTAATTTCTGTAACTGCTTATCCTGTTAGGGGTTGCTGGGAGACTGGACACTGGGCGAGAGGCGGGGTACACCCTGGATAGGTCGCCAGACTATCACAGGGCTGACACATAGAGACAGACAACCATTCACGCCCGGAGACAGTTACAGATAAATGTAGTTGGCTGAACAGATACAAATACAGATAATGATGTACTTGCTCATCCCCACTCTTCAATTCTATAGTTCTTAGTTAGTTTTATTAATGCATTGCGAGTTTCAGTATGCGGCATGAGCACCGCCTGCCATTCTACTTAACAGTAAATCCAATACAGTGTTCTGTTGAGAAGTAAATTAACTGTAAATTGCTGCTGTGCGGTAAGCAGCAATGACTGCTGCAAGTCATGTGTGTGTGTGTGTGTGTGTGTGTGTGTGCGCGCGTGTGTGATGAGAGACAAAGAAAAGTGATTGAGGGACCCATTGTTACAGCTACCTGTTCTGTTCGGGGAAGTAATTTGGCCTTAATGCACTACCTTAATATACTTTAATATCCCTTCTATAGTTTCACCATGCAGGCAGGTCCGTCATAAGGACTCAGTGCTGGGTCAGTTTTAAATAACTAATTTTACTTTACATTTCGAATTTTGTTTAAGATTTTCCTATAGTTTCAGCTTTGCTATAAAAAGACAAAGCTGAATATATGAAAGAAATGCCCAATGACATGACAGTTTATTTAGTTTTCTGTGAAAACATGACAATAGTTTCAGTGTAATAAACAGTGTTTATTTTCATTCTGTGTTTTAGTCTGCCCATATGGACTATGTGGTGGCTGCAGCTAATCTGTACGGGCAGATCTACGGCATCAAAGGGACAAGAGACTGTGCTTCAATCCAAAAAATCTTAGAGACAGTCCATGTACCATCTTTCACTCCCAAGTCTTCTGTGAAGATTCATGTCACTGACGAGGAGATTAAGGAGGAGAAACAAAAGGACAGTGATGACGCTGGTGAGTTATTTTAACTTGCTGATCTTCTAGATTACCTGACTTTCTGGTAGCGTTTGTTTTCTTCACTCTCTCTGTGTCTTTGCACCAGACAAAGCCAAACTTGAGGAGCTGAAAGGAAAACTGGCCTCACCATCTCTGAAAAGCTCGTCCATGCAGATGTACCCCACCGCCTTTGAAAAGGTAGGGCAGGAGTGCAGTGACACCTCTGCTGCACGCTCTGCAGACGCCACAGACAGACAGACAGACTGGCGGCTGAGCGTTAGCAGGGAGCTGCACTCAGATCTATGGCTGCTTTCAGAATATGCCTTTTTTTTTGGTTCCTCGGTGACCCGAATCTGTGCTTTTCTTCAAAACACTCGTGAAACAGAGCTTTGCTTGTGTTCCGTGTTGGCTGTTGTAACGCCTTGGGGCTAAGATATATATTTAGGGATTTACATCCTAGAAAAACAGAAGACTTCAGTCAACCAGCTCACGTGGAACAGATTTATTTCTGGATGGGCCCATGTGAGAGCTACATTAGCATCCTTTTGGTGAAATGCAGTGACTTTAACAACTTGGGACAGAGACAGAATGTTTGCTGCGTCTTTGAAGTGCCACATTGAGCCCTGAAGGTAGATTTCCCTCTGTAACACATCCATTGTTCATCTAGCTACTGTCACAGTCTTTCTTTAAACTCTTTGACACCACTTCTCAACAAACACACACTCACTGTCTTGACATTTAATCAGGTTTAGCGCTCAGCTGACATTTAGAAGTGTCTACGGGAGCCAAGCGTAAAGGTGTAGCCTTGCTAGGAAGTTATCTGGGGGCGCATATATAGATATACTTTTCCCTAACTAACTCCCAAAGGTATCTCCCAATCAGTTGCTCCAGCACGGTCAGCTAAATAAGTCCAGAGTTGTAAGGGCAGCAATTTGTGACAACCACATTTCAACAGAGGGGATGCGTGAGGCGGACCCTGATAACAAAAATGATAACACTTTCTTTGACACTTGTGTCTTTAATGAGCTATAAACGTCCTTATAATATTTTATTACCTGCTCATAACACTGTATAATTATAGCCATAAGCACTCATAAATATATTAATAATGCTTTATGACAATCACAACACAATACAAAGTAGTTTATAATGACCTATAAGGTCAAGTAATACTTCATAACAGCAGGTCACTCACTGATATATTTTTGCAAGGATGATAGTGTATTATAATTCTTATAGTTGTAATACATTCCAATCATTTTATTATCACGTTATGACCCTGTTAAACAAATACATAAATCATACAATGTAGTTTGTGCTATTCGTTTATAGATTTACCAACATTTTTTTCACTTTACTTAAAGCAAATATGACCATTTATAGTCACTTACAACCAGCTTGTAATGTAGGGCTGGGCAATATGAAGATATTATATTGTTATTGAGATATGAGACTATATATCGTCTTAGATTTTGGATATCGTTGTATCGTGATATGGCATAAATGGTGTTTTTCCCTCGTTTTAAAGGCTGAATTACAGTAAAGTGATGGAAATTTTAGGGATGTCCCGATCCGATATTTGGATTGGTATCGACCGCCGATATTAGCACCTTGAGTCCACCAGGCCAGCATGCAGACACACAGGAAACAGCAGCACCAGGCTGGCACTGACACCACAAAAATAACTGAAAAGGAAAGGCTGCATTGTTTGTTAAATGTCAACAATGTCTTGTGGTGTTAATCTATTTTTTATTTATTAGGGGGGCCAAAGCACATGTGTGTGGAGTCTTGCTGCTATTTTAATTTCAATGTTAGACATTTTAAAGATTTCTTGTGTTGATTTATTTTCTATTTATTGAGGGGCCAAAGCAGCCAATGCAAACCAGCTATATTTTTATTTAATGTTAATGTTCAAGTTTAAAGTTTGTTTATTTAACCCTGTTAACAATAAACAGGTCAGTTTCTCATACCAACTGTTGTGGATCATTTTAACTAACCCAATTAAGTAGTTGTTCTTGTTAGAGTAATATTGCTTGATCAAACCTTTTCTAGCATGACTGACAACAAAATAAGTGAATATGTATAATACACGCTTGGATCGGATTGGTATCGGTATCGGCCAAAACTCAAGGCTGTAATATCGGTATCGGATCGGAAGTGAAAAAGCTGGATAGGGACATCCCTAGTAAATTTATCAACTTCCCAGACTTTTTATTTGTTTTAACACTTGCCTTAACCCACTTAGCCGTTATATCCACATTATTGATGATTATTGATCAAAAATCTCAACCAAAACAACAATCATCCCTACAACTTTTTGCATCAGAGAGAGTATTTGGTTAGAAATATTGTTATGTTTGATTTTGTCTCCCAGTCCGAGCATTAATTTAGTGCTTTTGAGGAGATTTAAAAATATCGAGATATATACCGTGTATCGAGATGTACCCTTAAAATATTGTGATATAATTTTCAGAACATATCACCCAGCCCTATTGTAATGTATTATATTTTCCTATACCTCAGGAATTTCATTACTTCACTAAAGCACCCATGTGAGTAAGTTCTATTCTTAGTGTATTATAATGTACTACAACTATAATAATTATAATACACTATAACAGTGGTTCCCAACTGGTCCAGCCATGGGGTCCTCCTTAGTTATTAGTTCAAGGTCCACACAGTTTAATAAAATCAGCGTCATACTTGTTTTGGCTATGCCATCAAACTAGAGTGTCATCTCTTTCAAGTAGCTGTCCGTTAGTCAGTCACTCTACAGCAGGACATGGCACTTCAAAATAAAAGCTTTGTGCTGGAAATTTACTGTACTTAAAAATAAAGTGTGTTTTTTGCAGGTTTGACACATTTGCGAGTCACTTGCGGTCCATTCAGAATGTTATGATTCTTGTTATAAAGAATTAAGATAATTATAATAATAATTATCTAATGATAATTATGAGTGCTTGAACTATAAATATACAATGCTATAAGCACATTATAACACATTCTAGGTACATCTGTAAGACATGAGGGCTCAGACATGGCTATTCTGTTTACCTGTTGACCTGTTGACCTTCCACTGGGTCTCTGGGAAACCTTGGAAAAGGAGTGGAGTAATTCTCCTCTATACAAGCTTTTTATTCATCTTCATGGAGGCTGAGAATGTGGTGTTGAAATAATAAAAACCCCTTAAAACCTTTGGTATGGAAGCAGTAACAAATAGCGGTTGCTAAAATGTGTGTCATAGCGACAGCATCTTAACGTCGAGCATGGGGGTTTCCAGGTTATGAGCAGGCCACACAGTTGCTGTGGCTGCAGAGGTGAGTGTCACAGGAATGTAGGGAGGCTATAGAAAATGACTCTGAATGAGGTTCTGGTGAAGCACTCAGTGATTCAGGAGAAGCAGTAATAAAGGTGTGTGAGGTAACTCAGGTACATATCCAATGTCATCTTGAATAAGAATGAGATCCCCACTGTGCCCCCCTCCTCTTAATTTGTATCCCTGCGTGCCCAGGTCATGCTGTGGATAGATGGAATGTGTGTAGGAGGGTTTCAGATGCATCAGGTTGCCAGCTAGGAGCTTCCTCGCAGCCCCTGAAGCCATCCCTGAGTGACAGTCGCCTTCGCAACCTTTGTAGAACCACGGCAACAGAAGCATGACCTCACTGGCCATGTCGATCACAACAGAAATCTGATTTCCACCGCATTCTGACAGGGTGACAGAGTCATGGAGTGATCTAAGTGACACAGCAACAAAGCCTTCAAAGCTCAAAGCAGCCAAATAGAGAATCATGTCACTGGGGATTTTGCTTTAGATATGTTTTGTTCTTGTCTATCAAACTTTAGAGTGTGCTATATGAATGACTGATGTACTGTTTGTTTAACGTGGCACAGGATGACGACAGTAACTTCCACATGGACTTCATTGTTGCTGCTTCTAACCTGAGGGCAGAGAACTATGACATCCCTGCAGCCGATCGGCACCAGGTCAGCTTTTTCATTATGTGCATCATCTCAAATCTGTGAGGGGTAAAAAAATATATAGAGAGAAGTGAATTAGAGGGATGAAGCTGAAGTGAGAGGCGGTGTAGATTAGAAAAAAAAAAAACAGCAGAGCGCTCCCCCTCCCTCGGGGTCATGTTTTTAGTCAGTGCTGCACACACCTGCCCCAAAGCCACAGAAACAGCCTCCTCACCTATTGTTCCCACAGCAGAACTAATCACAGCACTTTACCTGTCGCCTGGGAGGTGACACCTGAGCCAGGCCTTGTACCAGCTGCAGCTACAGACGCGCAGAGCCAAGGCAGATGGGGGACGGTGGGGGGATGGGTGCTGCTGAGTGAGGGGAGACAATAGAGGGTTACCCTTGGGTAATCAGACAGATTTCCACGTGTCGAATCTTGTTTGGAAATAACTTTACATTTACTCACCATTTAACCTTGTTCACATGATGTACAGTATATTCACAATGCAAATTCTATAAGGCTGAGGCTGTGTATATAAATGTGTGGTAGAAGTTTTCAGATGTTCAAGTAAAAGTACAAATACCTCAAGGTTAAATACTCCACTACAAGTAAAAGTGCAGCATTAAAAAGCACAAGGACAGAAGTACTGAAATTAAAAGTACTCTTTATGCAGCAGAATGTTCCCTGTCAGTGTTATATTATATCACTGGATACACTTATTAGTGTTGCATTACTGTGTATGCAGCATTTATTTTGTAGCTGATCAAAGTAAAGCAGTTTTTACTACTTTGTAACCTAACTACCTTGTAACCTAATCTATTACAATGCATCAGATTTTAAACTAATGAAAAGGACATTAGGTGGCAAAGTAGCCAACTACATTTACTCAAGTACTGTACTTAATTACTTAATTACTATTAATTTTGAGTCACTTGTATTTTCATTTTTTCTGCTGCTTTTAACTACTATTCCACTGTGTAGTGAATACTTTTTATTTCATTTGATGTGTCTGACATGCTGTTTATGCATCATTAATAATGATAAGATAACATATTATATACTCCTTATCCTGCTGCATAAGGAGTACTTGGCTTTTGATATTTTAAGTGCATTATTGCTAAAAAATATATTTTTACTTAAGTAAGATTTTAATTGCAGGACTTTTACCTGTGATGGAGTATTTTTACTTTGTTGGGATGGTGTGCGTCATGGTGGTTCAGCGGTTAGCATTGTCGCCTCACAGCAAGAGGGTTACTGGTTGCATGTTCTCCCCATGTCAACATGGGTTTTCCTCTCTCCGGAGAAAGCCGGAGTACACGTACAGTTCAGGAGGCAGGGCAGGTTAATTGGTGACTCTAAATTGCCCGTAGGTGTGAATGTGTGAACGGTTGTCTGTCTCTATGTGTCACTCTACCTCGCCTCTCACCCATTATCAGCTTAGTACAGTGGTTCCCAACTGTTGGGTTGTAGTCCAAAAGTGGGTCACAGATCTATGGAGCCTAATGGATTGCAAGTGACTCGCAAATGTGTCAAGTTTGTAAAAAAGAAATTTCATTTTTAAGTAGGCCAACAGTGAATTTCCGACACATCACTTTTATCCTGAAGTGCCATTTCCTGCTGTGGAGCGAGTAACTAACGGACGGCTATTTGACAGACACAATAAACTAGCTTGATGAAATCTGGACCCTTTGGCTGGAACAGTTGGGAACCACTGACTTAGTATATAATCTGAATACCTCCTTCAGCACTGACTGTAGTGATGGCAGTAGCTGAACTATAAAACAGCACCCAATAGAAATACTCAAGTTAAATATAAGCACCTCAAAAGTACGGAACATTAGTAAATATACTTCAACTTCACTATACTTATTTTCCTTCACTACATTTTGTAACACAATATGCTCATATCATCACTGTAGGTTTCTACTTTATTAACTGACTTCTTGATGACCTGCAGTACATTTTTAAAGCTGAACTTTCCTGTGTCTCCTTCACAGAGTAAACTCATAGCTGGAAGGATCATCCCAGCCATAGCTACCACCACAGCCGCAGTGGCAGGCCTGATGTGCCTGGAGCTGTATAAACTGGTGCAGGGTCACCAGAAGATCAGCTCTTACCGCACGGCTTATATGTACCTGGCTGCCCCGCACTTTGTGTTCTCCCAGCCGACGCCGCCCCAGCAGTTTGAGGTGAGTAACAGCTCTGTGTACTCACGGCCATCTTTAGTTACAGCCAGTGCCAGCCATAGCCGGCGGGTTAAGGGGCAAGATTTACAAAGCAGACAGTCACACACAGGACCTGAGTAAGGCACTTTATACAGCCCGACAGACTGTTACTGTATATACTCTTATGATTTAAGCCTGTCTACTTTGGGGATAAATCTGTTTGGTCCTTTGTAGATTTATGTCCAACCCCTCTGGCTGGAGAGCATTAAGTCATGAATGAGTGCTCTCAGAGTAAGAGACCACTGCTAACTGTCAATCTCTTGCATATGAGCCAAGTCTTTAGCCAGCTCAGTGTAATCCTCAGAGTATTTCAGTGCAGGTAAGGTATAAACACACCCATGTCTGCTTCTGTGTTTGTACAATTAAGTGAATTTAAGGCAACTGTAATTCAAAGGAAAAGGACAGGAGCTTATTCTCCTAAGACAGAGTTCCTTCAGGATCAAATCCACCCTGGCGTTTGAGGTTAGAACAGGTCTGTGAGGTCATGCTAAATACTTTATATCAGCCAAGCTTTAAAACACAAACACAACATGGCTACCAGCCAGACTCAAACGCCAAGCAACCAAGGGTCACATTTAAGCTTATTAAATCTGCGAGGATATCCCATCGAATAATTTTGGTGCCCTCTCACAGGCTTGACTGCTTTCCCCTCAGAATCTCACCTCTGGAGGGAATCAGATATTGGAGCTGCCCTCGCCAGCTTTCTCCCTCAGAGCATTGAACCTCTGACAGACAGGGGTCACTGGGGGTCAGCCAGTGGAGTAACTGTGTCCTCTGGGACGTGAGGGTGCAAAGGCAGGGAGCTCTGAGACAGTGTAGGTCTGGTTTCAGCTTTGGTTACAGGCAAAAATGCTGCAGCTGCACTAAAGGCTGCGGCGATGACAGCGGCAGCTGTGACTTTCTGTGCAGTTCTGAAGTTCCAGACGTGCCCTCCTACTTACTTACAAAGTCCCCGGTGTTCTCACAGTTGTTGTCTGTAAACTTGGTCAGCGAAAGTGTTTGCACATACTTCAAAAATTTGCTGGCTGAAACAAAACGTTGCCCAAGCAGCCTGGAACGTTGGATATGCTCAGTATATGATTGCAGTCACACAGACAGAGTACCTGACATCATCCCAGCCAGAGGTTATATACTCAAGTGTTGAATCATTTAGTCAGAGGGATGGGCAGACATTAGTTTTTCCAGACCCAGGTCTTTTTCAGCAGGGCTTATAATGTTGCAGCCTCAGCTTTTACACTCAGCTCTATTCAGCAGAGGAGTCAGAGCAGAGACGGGACGCAATCATAGGAAAAAAGGCTCAGCTGAGGTTCAGGGTCAGCGTTTTGAGGGTTTGGGACGAATCTGGCACCAGTAAATGAGGAACATGCGTGTGCTGTTACACACTTGCTCACAGAGAGAAGGAGAAAGATGGTTGGCTGCCAAACCTTCAGCCATCTGAGTGGGAGACGCTCTAATGTCTGCCAAAGAAAACATTTTAGTCTTTAGTCTTCATGATTAGTTTAATTTTGTCTGTGATGCCCTCTAAAAACACACTGCAGCTCCTTTTCTTTAACATATTCCCCCTTTTCTATGTAGCATATATAAGCAATAAGTCATGAGAGGATTTGGTTTACAGTGATTTTAGAGCAGCTCTGGGGGGTTGATAGAAGTGATGTCGAGCAGTGTGCTTGATTTTCTGAAAGTCTACCTCCATCGACACTCGCTGTTGGGATGTTTTGTCGTGACCCTCTTTTCAGTTTTCCTCACTACTCCAACAAAAATGTTGCTGCTAGTGATAAACTCAGGATCTTCTTTTCAGTTAAGCCCAGCATGTAGGCCGACCATAGGGTTCACCTTTTCTGTTTTTCAAAGTGGCATAAAACTGACTGAGCGCCATTTTGGTGATAGTTGTAAAATCAACGGCCAGATTGTTCTCGGCACCCCACGTCTGAAAACAGTAACCTGACCACACAGTCTGTTTAAAGGTCCCAACTTCATTTCTTGACTTTTCTAGCTTTAGCTTTTCTCCTTTTTATCTTCTTCCTCTATCTTGTCCATTACTTTCAACCACTCATCAACGCTTAGCCCACCCAGTATGTAAATAAGAATTCATAACAAAATCTGAGCTGTTGAAACAATGGTTAATTGGCACAGCAATGCTTTTGTAATGCTGTCACAGCTGTGTGTGTGATTGAACGCGGCTCAGCCGATCATAATCAAGGACCAGAACTATCCATCTTGTGTCATCCACATAGATAGCGGCTCTTAAATTCTGAAGACACGTAGCAATAGGGCTGCAACAATTTTCATTGACGACAAATTTGTCGATTATTTCTTCGATTAGTCGACTAATCATTTTATCAAAAAATGTGTTAAAATGTTAAAAAATGTCTGTCTGTCTCTCCCAAACCCCAAAATTATGTCATCTAATGTCTTATTTCATATTCACGCCAAAGGGTTTTAGTTCACCGTCATGGGAGAGTGTGTAAAGCTGCCAATATTTGAACGTAAGAAGCTGCAATAAGAGTATTTTGGGGTACTTTTATAGTACTTCTCTATGAAAACCGATTAGTTGACTACTAAAATAGTCACTGATTATTTTGATAGTCGATTAGTCATTGATTAGTCGACTAATCGTTGCAGCCCTACACAGCAAAAACTTAAGTGTCAAATGTAATCAGTTCTTTGATCACTGAAAATATAACAGTGTATTACAATAAATATCTTGATTATCAGTTTCAAACTAGAGTCTGACCCTTAAATGCCAAGCCAACATTATCGGATTATATCTTATCACATGTATATTGGTATCTGCATATATATTGCCCTATGCGTAACAAAAAATGCAGTGTTGAGATGCCAAAGTGAAGTAATTTAGAAACAGTGTTGTGAACACATAGCTTGTCCACCAAATAGCACTAACAAGTACATTTACACAAGTGTGAAATGTACCGCTCATTACTGAACAGATTTACAAGATCCTTATGAAACATGTTTATGTTATGCATTTATGTTAAACACGCATCTTTTCCTTTAATCCAAAGTTCCTTGCATCTGACTCGTGTCTAGTTGTTATCTCATCACATAACGGGATAACATCATGTTGAGGAACCATAAAAAAGCCCTGCTTGTGATTCTTGATAAATGTTTGTGCCCTGCAAACTTCTTTTGTTCTCTACTTAGACGTGTAAATGGAAGTGGAGGATGCTTAGTCACAATAGCAGATATTAGCCCACAGCAATTAAAGCAGAAATAAAGACAGCATACCTATTAATATTCTCTTATTTTACTAATCTGTCTCAGATTAGAGAGTTTTATTAGGCGGCCTTTGAAGCAACCGCAGACGTGCAGCTGTGAAATATCACCGATCAGACATGCAGCATCAAGAGCTCAGCTTACTTTTGCCATGACTTAAACCTCTCCCCTCATGAGATCAGTCTCAGTTCATTAATATCAGGTAACAACACTCACATCTTACTGGTAGTACTGGTGGCCCACCCAGTGTATTTTAACCACCTCATCGCATCGTTGCCAGATGTTTGGCGGTCGTCGTAAAGTAACCTGGATTATCACAACTCCGAAGAGGAAAACAATATGTTTGTCCCAGGGTTGTTGTGATTGAAGGCTTTTGGAAGAGGTGTTTTAGATGTGGCTGTGTACCACTCTGTCCACACATCACTGTTTTACTCACAGACTCTTTAACTAAAATAGATTACTGCTCCCTCTCCCACCATGCTAACCCTTTTCCAGAAATTGTTGCTTTAAAGCGGCTGTTTCCCAAAATAGGAAGTTCTCTCCGGCCTTCCCCCGCTGCTGTTATGGAGGTGGAAAAATGTAAACAAGTGGGAGGCTGTCCTTGTCTGCTCAACACTGCCAGTCTTTAGTATCGTTTTCCTCCGTGTGTTTATGTTTTTCAGTCGGGGGGTCCAGGGCACAGGCCATTAAAGGAGCTGCAAGTCTTGCAAGCTCACAGAGATGGATATCACTCAAATGAAATGTTAGCACAAAATCTGCATTAGACATCCTCATGTATCCGTGAAGAGCTTGGTCTTGCTTGGCTCAGATGTTGCTGCCACATTTTTAAAGCTACAGCTTATAAGTTAGAAGATCCTGCTCTGCTGTCAGCACCCTATTTGTCATTGTATTTAGAAGATTGAATGGACACTTGAATCTTTCCAACTCATATAAATCAACTGCATGACAGACTAAAATTAATCTGTAATTTGAAAGGAGCTGCTTGTGATGACAAAACCACAGATCTCCTTCTTGTCACATTTTGTCGCTTGAGCAGAGGCTCCTGGCGTCATTAAAATGCCCAAGCGCTTCCGCCAAGCACCAGTGCGCTGTATCTTGACAAAGGGAGTCTGCGCTAAGACTAAGGCAACAAATCTGCTTGCTTAGGGTTAGGAAAAGATCGTAGTTGATGTAAATTATCTACGACTTTTAGTTTTATGCAGGAGACAAACACCGGCCTCCTGGATCCTTTGTCTTGTGTATGTTGGAACCATCCACCTCCCACCTGCCCTAAGTGGACTTTTACTCTTGATACTACATACTTTCCTCTGAACATCTAATAATGATGCAAATAGATTAATATTGGAGTTGGTTGAAAGCTCACTGCGTATCATACAGACACTGAAGGTTGCATTGAGCGTCCAAATCTGACACTCAGTGCGTTTACATGCAGCTTGAGAAAATCGAATTCTTGGCTTAGTCAGTACCAGACTTTTAAATGCATGTCAACAGCTTAGTCCTACTGAAATTGGACTATCCGTAGCTCTACTAACACACCTAGATAATTCGATCCACTTAGTCCAACTGGAATCGGACTTGGCCATCTGGGCACGCACCACTTTTTCTTTCGTAGGCTTTCACCCGGAAGAAGAAGGAGATGACGTAGCAGCAATGCAGTAATTCCCGGAAAAACAAACAAACAAACACCATGCAGCCGAGAAGTAGAAGACGTACTTCTGGACGGACGAGGA